AAGTATACGAATTCGTATATAATAGAGTTAAGGTTTGATAGAATAGTTATACATGTTTAATCTCTCTCTCAACAACCGATTGATTGCGTTACGCGTCGGGAATTAACCACAGGTGCCGCTATCGAGGTGAAACAACACAATCGTGATGGTATCATGTTAACGCTGTGTTAAAATTCCAAAATCCCGAGATTGAGTTTTCATATTATCCAAAAATTAAAGTTAGCTAGAAAATAAAATTGATTAAAGCAGAAGGTTTGTGTGTGATTCTTCCTGAAATTCTGCATAATATTGTTCTGCGTATGAGATCTGAATCCTGGGGACCTATCATAAGCACACTATCACCACACATAATCCATAACACACATAATTCATAATGTTCAATCGAGAGTAATCGTATCCTTATCGATAATACGGAATTAAAGAGCAGAGTCGAATCGACTCTCTCTCTCATTCACGCTCACAACGCCTGCGTCACTGCATACGATTAATTGCGTTATTCCAATTCATAACACAATCCTCGTCACCGAGGCTCGACCTGATAATCCATAACGACCTGCATTATCATAACCACGCCCACTCGCATAAATTAATACGATTATCTCTAGAATCAGCAAAATTTATGCGCATAATTACACTGATTAACATAATTTCGGATACATTATGCAAATTTCAAATTTCATTTAATTTTTATTATTTTCATCAATTTTCATAACACCTATATATACAACAATTGGCGTGCTAGATGTGTTTACATTGGCATGCTAGATGTCTTTGTATTGGCGTGCTAGATGTTTTTACATTGGAATGCTAGATGTCTTTGTATTGGCGTGCTAGATGTCTTTGTATTGGCGTGCTAGATGTCTTTACATTGCCAGGTTGGATGTCTTTACATTGGCGTGCTAGATGTCTTTGTATTGGCGTGCTGGATGTCTTTGTATTGACGTGCTAGATATCTTTACATTGGCGTGCTAGATGTATTTACATTGGCATGCTAGATGTCTTTGTATTGGCGTGGTGGATGTCTTTACATTGGCGTGCTAGATGTCTTTACATTGGCGTGCTAGATGTCTTTGTATTGGCGTGCTAGATGTATTTACATTGGCGTGCTAGATGTCTTTGTATTGGCGTGCTAGATGTCTTTACATTGGCGTGCTAGATGTCTTTGTATTGGCGTGCTAGATATCTTTACATTGGCGTGCTAGATGTTTTTACATTGGCGTGCTAGATGTCTTTACATTGGCGTGCTAGATGTCTTTGTATTGGCGTGCTAGATGTCTTTGTATTGGCGTGCTAGATGTCTTTGTATTGGCGTGCTAGATGTCTTTACATTGGCGTGCTGGATGTCTTTACATTGGCGTGCTAGATGTCTTTGTATTGGCGTGCTGGATGTCTTTACATTGGCGTGCTAGATGTCTTTGTATTAGCGTGCTATATGTCTTTGCATTGGCATGCTAGATGTCTTTGTATTGTAGTGCTAGATATCTCACCGGCACGGCCGCCGCTGCACCTTTCCCTCCATGTGGCGGAGACGCTCGTGTTGTGGCGGACTGTGACTTGCTGCTGTGTCTCTGTGTGTGTCTGTGTGTCTCTCTGTGTGTGTCTCTCTGTGTGTGTCTCTCTGTGTGTGTCTCTCTGTATGTGTCTCTGTGATATTAGATCCCAAACAATGAAAGGGATAGTTGGACCCGTACATAATCCCCACAGCAGTTTATTTGTAGTGCATTCATATTTTGCAGAGCACGCTGGCAAAGTCCATTGGAAAAATATATATGGACATTTCAGCAGAAACCTGAAATGTTTTTTTCAGATGTTTACATCTCCAAATATCAATACAAGAGGATGTTCCTTCACAACTGTGCTTCATCATCCCCACCTCTCCCCTCAATCTCCACTTGCCTCGCCATCGGACGGTTCTATAAATTCCTGTGACTTGCCACAGGAGACGACATATTGACATCTACCACAGGGTAGGTCCAAAGAAAAGCTAAGGCTGACTCAACATTAAGAGCAGAGGAAGATTAGGTGGCGGCAAGGACGTTTCCGTAAAAGCCACCCGAGAAACATGATGAACATCAAGGTTTCTTTGGGTAATTGCATGAATACTTGAAAAACTCAACTTTTTATTTTACCAGGTAAAGTTATATAGAGTTATACAGCTTTTTCAGAAGCAACCTGTCCACAAATGACCCGGAGATAAATCCACGCGACCACAGGGAGAACATGCAAACTCCAAATATACAGGCGTTCGGGTCAGGATCAAACCCACGACCTCCTGTATACCTGGCGAGGTAGTTAACATCTCACCACTGTGGCACCCATTTACTCGTCTGCCTCCTGCTAAAATTCTAGAAAATAAAAGACACATTAGACATTTTGCATGGGTATATGGAAGATTCAACCTTTGTCTTCTATTTTCATATACACATAGTTGTATTGCTGTGTGAAAGTTGACCATTTTTATTCTGTTGCTCACTGGTGTTATAGGTTTCATTTTTCTGCTGTTGATGTATTTGAATAAAATCAGATGCTCAATAATTGGTCTACAGGTTGTAAAGGTCTCGTGTTATGCAATTCCAATTAAAAACAATTTTTACAACTTGTTGGTACTGGTGAGAAGTCTAAGACCCAACTGGTTTATCTTAAGTTTGCAGATGAACTGGCACAAGCTATTACAGGCCGCTGGCAAAAATAGTTTGGAAAATCAAGCCTGAATTTCGGGATGGCATCTTTTGCTTCTGTAGTGCCCCAAAATACACATTTAATGTGTATGCATTAGCCTGCATATATGTACATCTGGTAAAGCAGGACGGCTACGATTGCTGGAGACCGTTTTTTCCGGGTCAGGGTTAGTCACAGAAAAATCAGTGTGCCGAGCTTGAGTGGTGATAAATCACAATATGTCATGACATCATGCATGCATACAGCGACTATTTGGTAATAATATACAATGTATCACACTGCACGTTGTGACGCTACCGACCAAAAAACACATCATATATGGATACTGCTATTTCTAGCACGTCTTAATGATCATCGAGGCAGACGAGTCATTTGTTTATTTCCACACGCTTGCAAATATTTGACGAAAACCTCTCGGCGTCCCTCGGGATAGACCAACGTAAGGTCGCGGACAACAAAGCATTGAGAGCTGGAACTGCCGAGATCCAGGATTTGAAATCCAAGCTGCCACCGCCTGTGATTATGAAACACAGTTCTCAAGTGTAGCGGAGTTGATAATCACAGCTCAAGTTGCCAAATGACTCCACAAAACAAACAATGCATCGCAATCAATTAGATTGCTGCAATTAATGTTAACTTTCAGCTCTGGGTAATTCAAATATTGATTTGACTGTCATGCAATGAACATTACTCTCGCATGCAGAGCGGGTGGGAAAGTGTGGACCAGAGGTCATTGGAAGGGATCACAGAAGTAGCTATGCGACGCCATTGGAACATGATGTACATTGACTATTTTCATCTGCCATCTGTATGCTTTTTTGTGGGGCGTTACAGTTCATATGAACAAAGACGCAAACCCTTTATTTTGCTACACAAGCACTATTTGATTACATAAAAGTAAACATTTGCCCACAGTCAATTATGTTAAATGGGGTTATAACATAAATGGAAGCCCATCATCTCTCCCTGGACTCATAAAATTAGAAACAATCACCGCTTTGTAGTAAATCACCAGTGGTTATCACTACAGAGACACTGGGCCGCCCCCACAATGGGAGTGAGGAATGTCCACCGTGATAGAGGTCTCCAAAACAGACGCCCACCTTCCTATTGTTAAGTTGTGCAGAGAGGGGCTGACACTTTGTATTTGCCAAAAAAATCCTTTATTCAACCATTAATAACGACATCAGCTTCTCCAGCAGAAGACCAGGTCTCCAATGCCATAGTGAAGATGTGAACATCTCTACACAAGGGTTCAGGTTAAATAACGAATACAGGGCTGAGTCCCTGAGCCTCTCAAAGATGTGATCCATAATACAAATAGCTCTTCTCTTGTAGCTACACAAAGCCACGCATGTCCACCACACGAGTTGCAAGTTGATGAGAACTAATTACTTTAAAGTGACTTTCAGGATCAACCCAAGCGACGTGACCACAGCGCAAATGTCGTTGTGTTTAAGATGTCACACGATCGCGTGATGGCAATGTCTCTAAAAAATATCGCGTTCATCGTCATTGTCAGCCTCCCCCCCCACGTGGGAATCTTCAAAATTGTGACCATCCACCTGGGCCACACGGTCTGTAGCCAGTGTGTAACGAAGATTTTATTAGAATCGATTGTGACATCTATGATACAAGCAATCAAGTATATTTGTTTAAACTCCAGCACTATTTGATGCTTAACTTCACCAAATAGTGCACGAGGATACATTATTTACAATGTTTAAGAATCTATATACGAATGGTTATGTTTAAGGCTGATGATGCCGTGAACAAAACGTGGACAATCGAGCCATAAAAAACCCACCGATTATTATTGAATCGAATCGTGAACCTAAATCATGGCAATTCATCAAATTGCTAACGAAATTTATCTTAACGTGCCTCCAATGTCCGCGCGTAACTACAAGAGAAGAGGTATTTTGGGTTTTGGGTTACATCTTCCTTGAATGGGCTCCTTATCAAAGTCCAGTCAAAAGTATTTGCACATACACACATATATTTGCGCATGTATATACAATCAAACTATATATGAACAGGTACACGCATGAGCACACAACACAAAAATAGAGACCTAAATTGTACATAAATACAGGGAACACATAAAAAACTAAACAATTTCATAAGCTGAACTATTTTTTTTATATTACCAGGTAAGACTCACCGAATATATAGCTCTTTTTCATAAGCGACCTGGCCACAAAGGATATCTCAACAACAAAGTGGCTTATCACGTGGAAATCGAATCAGCCAAATACTCGAAACGCTTGTTTGTAAATGTGGAGGGAATAACCTGAGGACCCGGAGAAGAATCCATGCGACCATGGGGAGAACATGCAAACTCCAAATATACAGCAGCAGGCGTCAGAGTCGGGATCAAACCTATGACCTCCTGTATACCAGGCGAGGTAGTTAACATCTCGCCACCGTGGCGCCCCAAAAACCAAAACAGTGACTCCCCCATTTTAGTCTCATAGACCACTGGGACAAGACACTGCTGTTAACGAGCACATCTCAGTAAACATGAAATGTTGGTCCAATGTTGGCACGTGGTTGAAACCCATGGCTCAATGTTGGCCCAAAGGTCCACGTTTACTAGAATATGAATACACATACAGTATATATACACACATATCTTAACATTTACTCATGTACATAAAACACAATGAACATAGCCGTGAACACATGGACAGGCATATACGTAAACATTACAAAGGGAATTATTTCCTGTACAGCTGTATACAATGTTGCAGCGAGAGTTGTCAGCGAGCACACACACAATAAGACTGGCATGGCAAATTAGGGGGTGGCACGGCCAACACCACGTCCACGAGTGCCTATGTTCACATATGGTACCGGGTATGAACTTAAGGCTGAGTCAACCTACATGAACACACTTGCACACCCACACAAGCAGCTCTAAGCACAAACGCAGACATGCAAGCACACAAATTCACTTATAAACAGGCACACACTAATATACATAAGAGATGTGCAACTCGTAATCAGAGTCCACTATGCTGATATTTATGCATAGTCACCCATGTGCATTTGTGTCATTCATGGAGCAAAGCCACGTGTTGCCATTCATTGCACACATGGAGGGCGCTGCAGTTATCATACAAAACACTCCTTGATATGGTGGTGGGTGTCGTTCAAATGTGATCGACTTTCCAGCACAAAAGGTGGAATTACGGCTACAAAATACGGATGGCAGCTTTCATGCCGTTTACAGCAATACCTGTGCATGTAAAAGCAATGCCAGCAAGTGGGTCCAGCCATCTGTGGTGAAGGAGTGTCTTCGCGATAGCCCTGCACGATAACAATGGTGTGAATACCAAATGTACATTATATTTGGTGATATTATTGTTAAAAAGCCAAAAGGAGTGTCAGAACCGAGAACAGCAGCCATCCAAAGAAATATGGAAATGCCAAACCGGAGTTCTACCATGATGGCATTTTCAGATTGGTTTCACAATGGCACAAGTGCATCAACAATGCTGGGAAGTGCATGGGGAATGTTAACTTCTTGGCATGAATATAATTTGTCATGTGCGACTCGGATAACTTTATCACCTATCGATGAGATGAAACTGATCGAGCATTTGCCGCATAACCAAAAGTCAATGCAAAACATTGGCCCAAAAATAATTTTCACCGATGGAACTGAATGTTATGTTGTGCATGTGCAGAACTCAAACCTTGTCCGTGTCTTTTATTTTAATTCCAATAAAGACACTTTCATACATACTTTCCTTATGTCCCATATAGACTCTCACAACGACAAAAATATTCATGGCACATGATGGTGAGATGTGGCCCCGTTTCCCCAGGGCTGATGTTTTCACACCACACCAGGTGCTCAGTTAAGGCAGAATTGACTTAGGTGAGGTTCAAAACACATTCAGATAGCACTCGCTGATATCCACCGTCAAGAATTGAACCCAGGTCACGGCGCAATGTGCAGACCACCGCACTGCCACTCACTACGCACATAAATCCATATACATGAACACACACAACCTTCAGCCATCTCCACACAAACTATGTATTGATATAAGTCTCACCCCAGGGTGGTGATGACACCCAGTGAAAGCTGAAACAGTCCTTCACATCAGGCAGCAATGCATGACTGGATATGTCACGCTGAAGATTCACTATGGGAATGGTGTCATCAACCTGTACACAATGTAGCAGCGAGTGGCTGACCACAGCATGCTGATGAACTCCAATGAGAACATATTATTTTAGTCAGCAAGTAGCAGGAGGATGGCCAAGTAGTGTTAATGACCCTTGTGGCCGTGAAGATGAAACCCAGAGATGATGGAATGGTACAACCACAGCACAAGGCAGCAGCAGTGAGCGATCATCTTTTCACACAACGCACAAGGCAGCAAATGGCCATGTGGTGCTGATGAACCCCAATAAGTGTAGATGCTCTGTCTGAATCTGTCTGTTGAAAATGTGTCCCTCTATCTGTGACAGTCTGTGTAACTGCCCGTCTTGTATGTTAGTAGACGATTTGGGAATGGGTGAGTAGGTGGGTCAATGAGCGAGCAGCTGAGCGAATGGTCAAACAACCAAGTGTGGAGTGACGAGATCAGCGAGTGGTCCAGTACGCGCAAGTGGTTCAACAAGTGGTTCAGTGAGTTAGTAAGCGAGTGGTCGAGTGAGCAGTCAAATTAAGTCACTGAGCAAAATGACCCGTTTGAACCAATCCATCAAATCGCAAATAAACCCTCTTCCTCACTCAAGCAAATGAGCCTGGTTCACGGCAGACCTCCACCACCGTCACCCCGTCTGCTGCCCTCCAGGTTTTCGTCGTTACGAGCCAGCTCCTCCTCCTTGTTCCCGTCGGCCTTGGGCCCGTTTTTTCGGAGGGACGTGATCTGCACCTCCTCCGAGTTGGTGGCGAGGTAGAGTGGCCGGCGGCAGCGCAGCACCTGCAGGAAGGTACTCTGCATCTCGTGATCGCGCAGGGAGTATATGATGGGGTTGACACCCGAGTTGAACTCTGCGAGCAGGAGGAAGAACTTCTCGTAGACATAGAGGTTGCAGCCCTTCTTGCACACGACGTCGAGTAGCAGCAGGACGAGGGCAGGCGTCCAGCAGATGACGAAGGCTCCTGTTGCGATGACAAAGACAAATTAGCCTTAACAGACTGCTGGGGCAAGTGCTGTTGGCGAGCACCTATGATAACTTTTGCTCACTCCAAGAATGAGATTGAGATCCTGCTGCTGAACCTGAAGTTTGACACAGATGCAGCCAAACCATTAGAACCCTGCTAAAAAAAAACATCTGCCGATATATAGTGTCATCGAACATTCCACTACTCTACAACTCTCAATGAGTACTGAGATTGCTGTGAAGATGGTGAAGGAGCGCCTGTAATTTGAGCAGTGTGCTCATGGTCAGCTCTGGTTTGGTGGTAGAGGCCTCACTGGAAATCCACTTGAGTAGAATTTTTCTTTAAACCAGCTGTGCTCTATGGGAGCGACAATACTATTCAGGTATTCTCAGCCACAAGTATGCATTCTCTTCTCTCTGCCTGCGAAAGGTGAACCCCTCCTTTATCGGAACACATGGGCTGGCAAAAAACACCCAGGCTGTCCTGCCAATGACCATCCTAGGTTTCTTCAGACTGTGTGGAGCAGCTCACAGATCCTTGAGAGATCAAGGTGGGGGGAGGGGGGGTCATCTGCCACCAGTGTGGGTGGCGCATCTGCCAGTTAGCTCAACCAGTTAACCATTAACACCTGGGTGTTCCATAACCTTCTTTTAGCAAGCCTTCACACCACGTCATGTGGCCTTACCTAGCTGTGGTAAAATCACCGCCAATTACTAAAGAATGGTGATTGTTGTGTACTGTATATGTTTTTATCTATGTATATGTAGAGGGAACAGTGGCTTGTGCACTGCACTATGAACCTAGAAACCTGAGTTTGATTATCAGCCATTGCAAGCTAACCTAAGTGGTGAGTGATATCTAAACTGGTCCTGGGCCCTCCTTACCCATCCTGCCTTGACCAGCGAGGTGAGGTCAAACAACCCCCATGGCTACCATGCCATAGTGAGGCATTAATCCGGCAGCGGGTCAACCAAGGGCTCTATGCTATTTAATTAAACATGAGAAAATACTTATGAATGGTATACGTGTACATATGTCCATATACTGTACATGCATGCGTGTCTAACTGTGCATGTGTGCGAGTGAGCGAATGAGTGTGTGTTTGTGCGACTGCGGTCAGATTTTGCTTCGGTACTTAATTCAGAGCAGATGGGTACAAAGACACGACCAACATTGCCGAGTCCCCACACATACTTCCATCCACACGCAGATCGCAGAGTCCATATGCACACACAAAGAGAAAGATCTCCTCGCTTTAGGCTCAATTGACTGTTGGGGCAAGTGCCGTTAGGGAGCACCTATGAAGGTTGGCACAGCATACGAGGCGTTTGGTGGCCACCACGACACCCGGTCGCCGTTGTCTCAAGTGTTGATGTTTACACACTGCACCAGATACACATTTGAGACAGTTTAACACGTAGGCTTTCGCGACCAATATTATTCATAATAAAGGTTTTTGGGTTAGATCGCGTTTATTTCAATAAACGCGATCTAAGCCAAAAACCTTTATTATGGACATTTGAGACAATCGACCAGGACTGGTTCAGATATTTGTCACTGGTGTTGGCCCCGAGCGGGAATTGAACTCGGGTCGCCGGGATCGTAGTGCAGCACGCCAACCTCTAGACTTCTGCTCCCCCCCACCCTCACACAAAACACTCCTCGCACCCTCACACAAACACGTGTGTGACGGTGGGGGAGCGGTAGTGTGTTCAGCCTCGTATTGTAATTGACATGAAATGTAAACATGTACAGTCCATTTTGGCAATCCACTGCAGGATTAGGGCCTGCCAACGCCTTGCGGGCCACGAGGGATATTTTACCATACTTCACCACGCTGGTCAATGTGGGTTGATGAAGGTGGGAGTGGGGAGTGCAGAACAGTGGATTTTTCTTCACTGCCCTCAGCTGCCTACAACGCCTACTGCATCGGTATTTTACAAATGAAGGCCGCTCATCCAAGCACCGTCCAGAGTCAAGTCTGCTTAGCTTCCAAAGTCTTATGCAATTGGGCACTTTCTGGGTGATTCGGTCAGATGTGTTGTGTTCCCATTATATATATACCACCAAACTGAGAATCCACTGGTTCTGTCTTGGTATGCTTCTCCATCGAAATGGCCAATAAAGACGTCACAGTGTAGGGGCCAGAGGACATCTCTGATGCAACTCCAAGGTGAACAGGAAATGGCTGCGATTTATGGCCATGTAGAGTTTAAAGAAGAAAACTTCAACATATTTGCAGCTTCATTTTTAAGGGGTCCGAAATAGATTATTATAGTTATAACTAGCCTTTTGCCCGTCCAAGGACGGGTACATTGCAGTAAATCTGAAACTTGCAAGCGTGTGCAATTTGTAAGGCCGCGGTGACACAGACCTATTTCATTTTAAGGTTATAATCCCTTGTTCATCATGTCGTCCTTTTTACTTTGATGTCTCAACAACAGCGTTACGGAGATCACGTGACGCGAGGGTTCTGCCTTTGTAGTGAGGGTTGTGAGTTGACGCCGAGGGAGGGGAGGAGGCGCCTCGCCCCCACATGTGGAGTGATGTCACCCACTAATTACAGTGTAACAAAAAAATGTTTTGTTCCTGGGTAGTAAGTGTTATTTCCTAATTGTTTATGACTCAAAAGTACAGAAAATGGCTATTATTCCCCACAAACTTTTCTTTTGTGACCAGGACAGTGATATTTTTAAATTTACTTATTTTCAATGAGAAAACGGGCGAATTTGTCTTTTCGTTCACATAAACTCAGAAAAAAACAACATATGAATCAAAATTTACACGTATTTATACTAAAGTAATACAGGTCAGTATCGAACCCACGACCTCCTGGACACCAGGCAAGCTAGTTAACATTTCGCCACCATGGCCCCCAAACAGTCCGTGTAGGCTATAGAGGATCTTTTTCTTTGTACATATGTGTATGTGTGATGGACAATGTTTCAGACAGTGGCTGAAAATGAAGTGCTAGCCTCAGACATTGTGGAGTAATAACTCGGTTAAAAGCCAGACACGTTTCAGCCTGGGTCTGACCAGTGCCAAACCTTCGGACCTTCATCAGCGGTAACCGCTCTCAGAACGATTATTTTCATTATCACAGCAGATTTAAGACTCACAGTCAATTGTGACCGAGCTAGTGACTTGGCGTACGGTCTAAAGATGCTATAGAAGGGCTAAAAAGCCAACGTTTGGGTCAAATATAGTGAAGTCCATGCTGATAACTAGGAAAATACAGAAGTAAATAAACATGCTTTAGAATGTGGGCCCATAAATCTTTACGGGCCAGACGTTGATAGCCTTACTCAAAGAGCAGGGTCAGCCTATGGCTCTAAGCATAAAACTAATTGCTTAACAGTATACAACCCACATCATTAGACCTCCTTTGCCAGTACCAAAATATAATAATAGGATTTTTCCCCTTTTTTCTGGCAACAAAACTGAAACCTTTTTCTAAGGATTCATGTCTGCATTAACCACAATACCTGCAGTCAAAATGCAAACAAAAAACATACTATGATAATATATGCATTGTCCTTGAAACTGATTGGTCCACACCAAGGGACGGCTTTCTTTGGTGTGGACCAATCAGTTTCAAGGACAATGCATATATTATCATAGTATGTTTTTGTTTGCATTTTGACTGCAGGTATTGTGGTTAATGCAGACATGAATCCTTATAAAAAGGTTTCAGTTTTGTTGCCAGAAAAAAGGGGAAAAACCCTATTAGTATACAACCCTCCAAGCATTAGTGAACCAAGTAAGTTGTCTTCTTTGTAAGTGCGATGCAAAATTCTAAATATGGGCAAAGCCTGCTCATGGTTACATATATACTTAGGTGCTTGTTACCAGCACTTGCCCAAACAGCCTGTCCAGGCTACTTGAGGGCATTTTGCCTTTGCTAGTGGACCAGAGCGTGCATGTTGTATATGTATAAATGAGGGTACATGCAAGTATTTGTGAGCATATGTTAAACAAAAAATATGTGCACATGTCTTTGCTCAAGCACGATCTCTCTCCTGAAGCCCTCTCGTGGCTGGCTCGCAGACCTCGATATTGGCATTGAGCTTCTGAACACAGCATATGCAAGCATGTCCATTTGTACAGCGAGGGTAAAAAGTATTTGATCCCCTGCTGATTTTGTACGTTTGCCCACTGACAAAGAAATGATCAGTCTATAATTTTAATGGTAGGTTTATTTGAACAGTGAGAGACAGAATAACAGCATACAAATTCAGAAAAACGCATGTCAAAAATGTTATAAATTGATTTGCATTTTAATGAGGGAAATAAGTATTTGACCCCTCTGCAAAACATGACTTAGTACTTGGTGGCAAAACCCTTGTTGGCAATCACAGAGGTCAGACGTTTCTTGTAGTTGGCCACCAGGTTTGCACACATCTCAGGAGGGATTTTGTCCCACTCCTCTTTGCAGATCTTCTCCAAGTCATTAAGGTTTCGAGGCTGACGTTTGGCAACTCGAACCTTCAGCTCCCTCCACAGATTTTCTATGGGATTAAGATCTGGAGACTGGCTAGGCCACTCCAGGACCTTAATGTGCTTCTTCTTGAGCCACTTCTTTGTTGCCTTGGCCGTGTGTTTTGGGTCATTGTCATGCTGGAATAGCCATCCACGACCCATTTTCAATGCCCTGGCTGAGGGAAGGAGGTTCTCACCCAAGATTTGACGGTACATGGCCCCGTCCATCGTCCCTTTGATGCGGTGAAGTTGTCCTGTCCCCTTAGCAGAAAAACACCCACAAAGCATAATGTTTCCACCTCCATGTTTGACGGTGGGGATGGTGTTCTTGGGGTCATAGGCAGCATTCCTCCTACTCCAAACACGGCGAGTTGAGTTGATGCCAAAGAGCTCCATTTTGGTCTCATCTGATCACAACACTTTCACCCAGTTGTCCTCCGAATCATTCAGATCTTCATTGGCAAACTTCAGACGGGCATGTATATGTGCTTTCTTGAGCAGGGGGACCTTGCGGGCGCTGCAGGATTTCAGTCCTTCACGGCGTAGTATGTTACCAATTGTTTTCTTGGTGACTATGGTCCCAGCTGCCTTGAGATCATTGACAAGATCCTCCCGTGTAGTTCTGGGCTGATTCCTCACCGTTCTTATGATCATTGCAACTCCAGAGGTGAGATCTTGTATGGAGCTCCAGGCCGAGGGAGATTGACAGTTCTTTTGTGTTTCTTCCATTTGCGAATAATCGCACCAACTGTTGTCACCTTCTCACCAAGTTGCTTGGCAATGGTCTTGTAGCCCATTCCATCCTTGTGTAGGTCCACAAGCTTGTCCCTGACATCCTTGGAGAGCTCTTTGGTCTTGGCCATGGTGGAGAGTTTGTAATCTGATTGATTGATTGCTTCTGTTTACAGGTGTCTTTTATACAGGTAACAAGCTGAGATTAGGAGCTCTCCCTTTAAGAGTGTGCTCCTAATCTCAGCTCGTTACCTGTATAAAAGACACCTGGGAGCCAGAAATCTTTCTGATTGAGAGGGGGTCAAATACTTATTTCCCTCATTAAAATGCAAATCAATTTATAACATTTTTGACATGCGTTTTTCTGGATTTTTGTTGTTATTCTGTCTCTCACTGTTCTAATAAACCTACCATTAAAATTATAGACTGATCATATCTTTGTCAGTGGGCAAACGTACAAAATCAGCAGTTGATCAAATACTTTTTTTCCCTCACTGTATGTGTGCATGTAAGCTATTTATGTCTGTGTACATTTGTGTAAAAACATAGTATACAGTGTATACATGCGTATATCCATGTACACATGCACGCACTTACACACCCACACATACATGCACGGTTAATATTGATTCTCTAAGCTCACGGTAGCATACATCAGATCATGTATGACCACCGATGATTTTCAATTCCTGCTGGTCATCTGTCCATAAGAGGTTTTTTGGGTTAGATCGCATAAATATATAAATGTGTAGTTAAAACCCGCCACCACCTGACACAGCCAACTAGTAAGGGTTGTCACGTAAACAGAACTTTCCATTTCGTCACTAGTACAGCACACCGGTGTGTTGGAGAGCCAAGCCACAACATTTACAATCTGAGTATGACGTTTCGCCAGTAATTACAACTAGCTTCATCAGGCAACAGCCAGATTTGTAGAGAAGCCTGTTTCGTTCCTTAAATAGAGGCGGAGATGTGGTGACCACGCTTCTGCGCTCTTGCCCCACGTGGTGGGGGGGGGGAATTACTGAGGCATAATACATGATGCAAGCCCTTTGAACTTGTCCTTCCTGTCTGTTGTGCCTATTAAAATAGCCGTATCAACGGTAATCTGTAATGAGCAGAGGTCACCTGTAATGAGCACACATGACCTCTGCAGCCACTAGAGGGCGCTACAATTACCACAATGTAACAATACATTTTTTTTTTCACAAAGTCATAACCTTGAAACACAAAAATGCAGTGAACGGCCCCGACATTGAATCGTTATACCTCTACTACACATTAATTAGAATCAGAATACTTATTTATACTGGAGGAATCCGATGAGCTACAAAGCTCTTTTCCACAGATGTCCAGTCGGTACATCTTACAAGGTGAAGCCCACTGAGCTGTCAGCTGATGTTTCAGAAGCAAGCTGGCCACAATTGATAGCTAAAGAAAGTGGCTTATGTGGAAATCAACCACCGCCACCACCACTCACCCAGGATGATGGAGACCGTCTTCTGCAGGTTCATCGTCGTCTCCTTGTGCTTGCGCGGCAACGAGCTGTGCCGAGACATCCGCAGCGTCTGCTTTCGCACGTACACGTAGATGTGCACGTACAGCCCCACCATCACCACAAACACCACAAGGTTTGACGTCGCCCAGAAGATCAGGTAGCTGTCGCTGTACAGCGGCGCCATGTTCGAGCACGTTTTGATGTTGCAGATGCAGTTCCAGCCGAAGGAGGGCAGGGCACCCATGAAGACAGAGACCACCCATATCATGACGATCACCACCATCACGCGCCGCTTGCTCATCTTCGTGTGCAGCTGCATGCGGAAGATGGTCACGTGCCTCTCGATGGCAATGGCGAGCAGGTTGGCGACCGACGCCGTTAGGCTGGTGTCGAGCAGCGACTGGCGTAGCATCCAGGTCCGCACGGTGAGGTTGCGCGTGTTGGGCCCCGTGTTCGCAAGCAGGAAAATGTAGGCGATGCCCGCGAACAGGTCGGCCGCCGCCAAGTTACCAAGCAGGTAGTAGATGGGCACGTGGAAGCGCTTGTTGACGTAGACGGCGGCGATGACGAGCCCGTTGGCGAAGAGGACGAGGGCCGAAACGAAGATGCCCAGCACCAGCGTCACCACCTGATGGCCGCAGCCGATCAGAGAGAGAGAAGTTTATAACGACCGAACGCAGTCGGCACTTTGCTAGAGCGAAGACGGTACATGCAAGTGTTTGCCAAACATTTAAAGCTGAACGTCATCAGTGAACGGACCTCAATATAGTGAGATAATTGTTGCTAGATTGGCCTTCCAGAGTCAAGAAGGTAATTCGACGTTTTACTAAGTATTGGACATAGGAAACATATCCCAGATCCTTAATACTGACTTGAAATCATTCTGCACCATGTTCTCATCCCAAAAAGGCACTATATAAGCCCACTTTTTGTTTTGGCAACATTTGGTTGCTAAGGATAACTGAACCAGTCCTAGCCACTCCTCCCTTCACTATAATACCATGCTGACCAACCTGGTGAAGTATGATTTAAAGCTTTCGTGACTGCAAGGATTCATCTTCTTTGGTTCTTTCGGTAAAGTCACGTAGAATGAGAATAAAATAATAAAATAACACAATAAAATTCTCACGACGTTTCGGCCACAACGCAAGCGGCCGTCTTCAGGTGAAAGGTACAGAACTGTCGGGACGACAGAGCTTCAATGAACGATGTTAAGATTCGTAGCGACTTTTAAGCTGGTTGGGAGAAGTGAGGCATTTCAATGCTAAATTACTAGTTGCCTCTGTGGATGTGTAGGTTGACTTTAACATAGCCATTCCTGTGACCAGTCACAAGCTAATCCCTCAGCTATTTGCACAAGCTAATCCCTTAGCTATTTCAATGCTAAATTACCAGTTGCCTCTGTGGATGTGTGGGTTTTGAATTTAACATAGCCATTCCTGTGACCAGTCACAAGCTAATCCCTCAGCTATTTGATATGTAAACCCCTTTGTCAAGGTGCCTCACTTTTCCCAACCAGCTTAAAAGTCGCTACGAATCTTAACATCGTTCATTGAAGCTCTGTCGTCCCGACAGGTCTGTACCTTTCACCTGAAGACGGCCGCTTGCGTTGTGGCCGAAACGCCGTGATAATTTTATTGGGTTATTTTATTATATTATTCTCATTCTACGTGACTTTACCGAAAGAACCAAAGAAGATGGTGAAGTATGGTCAACCAAGCCCATGACCAACATGACATGGGGAGGCCTTCATCCAGCACTGGACTGGCAAAAACGGTTGTACATGTACACAATCACGATCACCCCTCCACGATTGATGAAAATTAAAAAATATATATTTGGGACCACTTTGTGGGAAGTCTATTTGACAGACCCCCCCACCATGGGGGATGTGAAATTCCCACTGCTTGCTCATGGCGCAAACGGAGGTGAAGCGACCTCCCCCCCCCAAAGCAGACTCCCGGACCGCGACACTGCAATGAACCTGACAATGGTTTCCGTTACATACCAATTTAACACGTAGACTTTAGCGACCAATATCATTCATGACAAAAGTGTTTTTTTTTTTAGTTAGATCACGTAACCACCACCCGACAAAGATAATTAATTAGTAAAGTTTGTCACGGAAACAAAATGTGCCAATTAGTAATTACTTCAGCACATCGGACGTTGGAGAGTAAACTCCTAACATTTACAATTTGACTACCGTGACGCTTCGCTCGTAATTACAATCGGCTTCATTGGCGCGATTTCACCAGAATTGTGACAAACCTTACAATGTCGGGCGGTGGTGGGTTATCAACACATTTATATTTACGTGATCTAACCCATTAAAAAAAACCCTTTATTATGAACATACCACTCACCTAATCTGGCACTTACATGGAGAGGGCCACTCAGTCATGCAGAAATAATTCTGCCGTGCGAGCAGGGCATCCAGGAAAATGTTTCAGCACCCGGCACACTACATCCACAACATCGAACGCCATGGCTGGGGCTACCAGCAGTCGACTGCTCCAGGTTACCAGCGACCAGTGAGAATTTAAGCCCAGGCTTTTGAGATTCCCAAACCTGCTAAGGCCGTGAAGTTTTCCAGACATGGCAGCATAGCAAGTGGGTTCTTGAAACAAGTCTGTGTGCTATTTTTCGATTTAAAGCTTTCATGACTGCAAGGATTCATCTTATTTGGTTATTTCGGTAAAATCACGTAGAATGAGAATAAAATAATAAAATAACACAATAAAATTCTCACGAAGTCTGTGTGCACCTGGAAGGCTGTCCCCTGGCATGTGTGGGTTTTCTTTAAGTTTTACTTTCCTGTGTGGAAAACACTCATTAAGGATGGAGAATTGCATTTATGTGTTCAGACTTGTTTTTTTATAAATTCACTGCTGGATGAAGGCCTCCCCATGCTGTGTGAATCAAAGGGATTATCGGACAATATTTCACCACACTAGTCAGTGTAGTTGAGAGCATAGTACAGTACAACAATAGATTTTGCTGCATGGCCCTTTGCTGACCACCGTGTTGCCCTGCAGCACCTGACAACAGCTGCTATGCATGCTAGTCCCTGGGGATTGGCAAAAAACATCGTTTTCTAGGTAGCATGCGAGGTTTTGGGTCCGACAGATTATTCTAGTGCTGCTGGTGATGATCAATATGATGATGATGATGTTAGCGACAGAGATTAGTACGATTAATTGAGTCATGCCGATTAATCGGGGCTCACCTGAAGGGTGCCCCACTCGTTCGGGAGCTCCTTGTTGCTGTTGTTGTAGAAGAATTCGATGGAACCATTGTAGTAGCACACGTTTGACATCTTGCTTGCACACTCACCCACTCACCAATCCACTCACTCACCCACGCGCACACTCACACACTAACCCACCTACTCTGCACTCGTTCACGTATTCTCCCTCGAGTCCACTCTTCCACTCATCTATTTGCTCGCCATTTTCCCAACCTACTTGTCGACTTCCCCGATAACCGACCCACTTCTAAACTAGTGTGCCTACTCTTGTACCCACTATCTCACCCAGCCAGTTGTTCACTCACTCACCCTTTCACCCACTAGTTCATGCACCCAACCACTAGCCCACTCACACACGCTATCAGTCAGTCACTCAAACAGTTGCCCAGTCACCCACTCACTTGTACAATGTAGAACCTGCTCACGTCAGACACATGTGCAACATCACATATTTACAAAATTATTATATATTTTACCTTTTCCTCTGAATTAAATTCGAAATGCACCACCAGCATTACAAATTGTCAGGAGACACAGCTGTGTTTGAGATCTCGCATAGTAAGAAGCATAACATTATATTATATCAGAGCATGACCTGGTCCTCTGATTGCATTACTATTCAACAGTGGCCAAATTCCAGCTTGGAGAATGTAAAATATCAGTTCGACTCTTATGCAATGAACATTAATTTGGGCAAGCTGGGCAGGTGAGAAAGTGCTGCCTGCCACTGTGCAAAGGGATCTCAGAAGTAGCTATGCGATATTCACTTATGTGGGCCATTCTCTAATGTGAAGGCTTACACTGCCATGTGATAGCACAATTGAGTTTAAATTGGAGGAAAATTAAAATAAAACATCCTATCTTTTGACCACATGGTTCAAGAAACAATCCATGCATCTATTAGTGTCATGTACATCTGATACAGATATAATGGGAGTCAATGGATGTCATGGCACTCTGTTATGCACGCCGATGACCTGGTGATTAGGAGACAGGAGAGACCATACCGCTGAACCTGGATAGTCGCAATGAGCTAAACTTACCAACAACCCCACCAAAACAAAATATTTGCCTAGATACTGCTTATGACAAGCTCTGGTTTGCAGCAATGTCTTGCTCCGAATCAGTAGAACGCCATATTTTTATTGGCTGCATAATACTGTAATTGTCACTCCACATGAAGCTTCAAGTGTCTTTAGCCAAGAAAATATCCCCTCTATTCGCAAAACACATACTCCCCCTTACTTGAACACCTGGCTTGAAGCATTCAGGCTGGTCTGCCAACAACCCACCCTGGGTCTACTCAGGCTATATATATCAGAAGATAAACTAAAAGATACTTGAAAGATTAAGACACATTGCCAATAGTGGGCTCCTTGCCAAGGCAAAAAATATGTTGGTTTGGTCATGTAGCCCACATGCCCAGCCAATGCATGCCCACACAGATTGTTTGGCCAAATGGAGGTGGTTAAATGGGTGTGCGTCACAGGCTAGAATAGGGAAGGGCCGAATGTCGACTTGGAGAGGAGTTGTCTTGTACCAGCAGTGTCAAGATCGGCCTCTATGGAGGAGACTCATGATAAATGCTTGGGCAGGGGAAAAAAGAGCAACACTCACAAGAACAAGCAGAGCGCCAGGAAAATAAAAACATAGCAAGCTGGCACAGTGGGGATCACAGATGGCACATCTGCCAAGTCATCTTAATAATTTAACAGTAACACATGGGCATGTCCTATGATCTCCTACCATTGGTCCTCTGGCACTTTGTGCGACTTCAAATCATATCTAGCCTGGCACAAATGCAGTGGCGATTTCACTGCCAGCTAGTAGTAAATGTCGGATGTTGCTGTGTTGTCGTCATATGTTGTGTGTGTGCTCTATGTATTCGTTGGGAGAAGGGTAGTGTAGTGGTTAACGTATTGCGCCATGAACCCAGTTACCCAAGTTTGATTCCTGCCCACTCCCAACATCAGTGATGCATATCTAAACTGGTCCTCGGGTCCTCTAGGTAACCTCAGCCTAAAGTGAGTACTTAGTGTGGTGTATAAACATCGGTAATGAGGGAGACAAATATGGACAGTGTGGTGCTTACCACACCGCCCCCTCATGTGCCGTTCTGGCCTTTATAGGTGCTCGCAAACAGCACTTGCCCCGACAGCCTGTGCAGGCTCTGAGTGTATATGCTTGAAAATATTTGCATGTATACATCTTTATGTCTGTACGTACGTGCACGTGTTTATGTACATATGTTGGGGTAAAGTAGTGGTGCAGCAGTTCGCTCACTGCACTCTGAACCCGGTAACCAGAGTTCGATTCTCGGCTTTGGCTAACATCAGCGGTTCTGGGCACACTCTTTCCTAAACCACACTGACCAGCATGGTGAAGTAAGGTTAAACAACCCCCATTAATGAAACAATGGGGAGACCTTCACTCAGAAGTGAATTTATAGGTCTGTAAAACATGTTTTTATGATTTACATGGATATGTGTGTATATGCGTGTGTGTGTGTAAGAGGGCAGAGTGGGGCGGAGGGAATTCAGGAATGCGGTCGGACAAGACAAGGCAACACACCTGAAGCACGCCTGAAAACACATGTCGAACACATTTCGAACACACATACAAATAAAATACATATAGCCTTAATAGACGGTTGGGGCAAGTGCTGCTAGCAAGCTTCTATGAAGGCCGGCACAGCACACGAGAGGTGGGTGGCCAGCACCACGTCCGGCCACCTTTGTGTCTCTACTAGCAATGTTGACTCACAGCACTAGATACTCATTTGAGGCTGAAGTCGACCTAGGGGAGGCTCAGGGCAGATTCAGATAAATCGTCACTGGTGTTGGCCGTGAGCCAACACCAGTGACGATTACACATCACACCCAGACACACACAAGTCACGCATACGAAAACACTCAAATACACAGCACAGACGCATAACCAAACCCACGACTGGCACATAAATGCACCCCCTTAACGCATACAAACACCCACCATTAACCCACTGACACACACCAAACACGCATCTCGCAAAGAGCGAACACAAAACACACTAACGTACACACACTCGCCACAAACGCGTATGCACCTGGTGCACAAATAACACAAACCCACCTAAAAATACTAAACACACCCAGACAACACACAAGCGGGATACAATGATATACTGTATACATGCACACACAACACACACACATATAACCAAACCTGCAAAGCTAAAGCATAGAGGCACACAGACACATAGATCCTCACATACCCTTATGTACACGGGGCAAACGGAAGTTAGGGAGCACCTATCAGAATCGGGATATTTATTTATAGTGGAGGAATCCAATGAGGTATAAAGCTATTTTTCACAGATGTTCAGTAGGGGCGGGTAAGAACGTTACAACAACAAACAGTACAACAACACGAGAGGAGTACAAAGTACAAGAATAGTAAACAGATCACCCAAACACATACACATAAAACTAAACCACATCCCCATCCTACCAGGTAAACCCCAGGAGGTATTAACTTATTTTTCCAAAGCGACCTGGCCACAAATGATAACTCAACAAAGTAGCTTATCATTTGGACATTAATAAGCACCAAAATAATCTAAACAGTGTAAACGCATATTTCTAAATGCAGAGGGAAAAAAATCGGAGGAACCGGAGAAAAAATCCACACGACCACAGGGACAATGTGCAAACACCAAATATACAGCAAGCGTCTGGGTCGGGATCGAATCCCCGACCTCCTGCATACCAGGCGAGGAAGATAACATCACACCACTGTGGCGCCCCTTAAATAAATAACTTATATAAGTTCGTATTCTTGGTTCTTTCGGTAAAGTCATGTAGATAGGAAAAAAATAAACCAAGAATATGAATTCCTGCAGTCACGAAAGTTAAGTAAAAAAATATGTTTGAATTGCATCATCAATTCCCAAGCTTCGGAAAGGCAGTAAAACAACAGCAAAAATAGTCCCAGACCACACCAAGACAACACACAGTCCCTGAATACAAATTGTATATTCAATTTGAACTCTCAATACATTTGTTCAGGATTCAATTTACAAATGCCATTGGCAATGTGACACTAATTTTCTGCTGCAATGCCAAAGCGTGTCAACTCTTCCAATTCGTGTTCTTTGGATAGTTAAAAGGTCGGCACCGCACACGATCTGGTTGGGGGTGGTGTGGCCACCACCACAGCCGGCAAAATTTCACTCCCATTTGGAGATGTTGCCATACCACCACCACCACACGGAGTACTAATTTAAGGCAGAATAAACAGATTTAAAGGCTTTGGACCAGATATGATGCTACGTGGAAATGATGTTACCCATGGCCCCTGAATAACACCTAGGTTGCAGAGTTTGAAGCACAGTGCAACAATAAATGCACAACCACTCCAACATACATACATACATAACTCCTCTTTATCCACAGCCCTATTACCCGCCACTCCAGTTATCCTCGGAAGCTGTTAAAATCCGCTTAAAACTCCTTTTGCCCGTAACCCAATTTCTTCCTTTTATCCGTGATATTTAACCCCGCAGATAGGAGTGAAATTGGAAGTAACAGAACCGGCGATATTAGTCCCTCAGATCAAATGGGATAAGAAAGAGTTCTATATAAAGACACAATAGACAAATATCCCATGTACAGGTTATCCTTCTATATTCTTGGTTCTTTCGGTAAAGTCACGTAGAAGAGAAACAATAAAATAATAAAAATATAAAACAATAAAATTCTCACGACGTCGAAAGAACCAAGAATATGAATCCCTGCAGTCAAGAAAGCTTTAAATAAAAATTTAGGTTATCCTTCTATTTACGAACGTTCGGTTTCACAAAAATTTCGTGTTAACGCGATTGACCAATCATGGACACTTTTCCATAGACGAAATTTAATTTCTGCGTGAAAGAAATTTCACTACAGCCACACGAGCCACGAGGTCAAATAAAGTTCCACCCCGGGAGGGTGCGTCACCCATCCGCGACAGAGTCATGGTGTCCCTGCGGTGCAACAGCAACGCCTCCATAGTGGCGTAGTAAAGACATTATAAGCTCAGGGGTACGGCAATCGGTCAGGTGCGGCCCCAATATCCGATTCGTCTCGCACGGTCCCACCTAGGCTATTGTATATCACGGCTCCTCTCGCCAAATCACATCATTACGCTCACGATCTCCAAGATTTAGCGTTGTGGGGGCACTCCGTTTTAAATAGGTTGGTGTTCTTTTACACTGTTGATGAAAATATATCTCATGGTGGTTGTCAAGGGGAGACCCAACTCGTAGCTTTGGCCACCTGGGGGCAAGGGGTCAAGGCAACCCCTGCCAATGGCGGAGCCAGGATTTTCAGGTAGGGGGGGAAACCCCTCCAGCAATGAAAAAGGATCGGAGTTGTTAGTAAGTAAGGACTTGTCCCTTG